CCATTTTCGGTACTAAGGCTCACTTTAGCCAAAACAAGTTGCCATTTAGGAAAGGCGCGAGCTAAGGCGTCACCGCACACCAGCGTCAGGGAGCCAGATGGCCGAGCCATTATCACTTTCAATTTCACCCCGTGTGATGAAATTTCAACAGGTCACGGCCCGCACGCCGGTCATCAAGCAATTAGCGCACAAGCCGTAAATTATCCTTGAAAGGGGAATCGTTAACGGTCATAAATGTGCAGTAGCATAGTGAAGACATTCTATAAATGCTGTTAATCCTATGCATGAATAACCTGTTTTTGTTAATTTCTCTGATGAAGGATCCGCGATGGATTTCGAAACGTCAGGCGAATAAATGTTTTGGCCCACTGATCACATCTGCTCCCTCTCGACCCTCATGCTATTTTGGCAGTACTGTTAACAGGGAAGGCAGCTTAAAAGAAAAAGACGGCATCCTTAGGTAACCAGATTAGTGGCTATGGTAACTAATATTACAAAACCGCTTAAATTTTCTTTTTGAATCGCAAACGCATTGCAGAATTGCTGTTAGCATTTAATGAGTTAGGATATCAACTGAACGTTCTAACGGCAGTTCTTGATTGACTGTTAGAAAAAAGAACAGTTATCAAATTTCTCAAATACAGCGGGCGTCAAACAACCCAATGGCTACCGGATCGTATATATTGTGAAAAGTTCTCATATATTTGGAAATAGCCGATAAGTTAGTCTCCCAAAATACTGCCACAACTATTTTAGGTGATATTTTACTCGTATACTAGTCTCCACCTGCCAGCATGTGGTGCAATCTCAATTGCACATAGTTGCATTTATATGCGCAATGATTCGGGGTCCAGATATAATATAGCGTTCATTATCCCCGGAAGAGGAAAAAGAAGAGGAGGCAAGTTCCGGGACCAACTTGTATTTAGTTGTCGTTTCGAAAACATGCTCATTCCCGTCGGCAGAACGTAGCGTTTACTCTTCCGCCAGCCTCGATTTAATGCTCCGAACTGCCAGTCTCGTGCTGTAACCGTACCCGATGCACGTGCGTCAATCGACTGTTGCTGCCCGTTTGAAGCGTTCTCGTCCTCGCGGGCGCCTCCGTGAGAAGACGTGTCACGCCGGCCATTTGACTCTCGACCGCTGCCATCTTCTTCCCTCGTTGGCGTCAGCTGTCGGTCCTGCGTAGCTTCCTTCGCCCAGCCTATTGCCCCCTTCTGCGCGGACGTGAGCATTGTGCGGAGTTTAGGCGGGGTTTAAATATAGAGCTCGGGTTGGTGTGTCCGTCGAGGACCAACTTTCGAGCACTAATTTGGCCATCTTATCGTTGGCTCCGCCACACAAACTCGCTTTCTCAAAGGCAAATTCGTGGTTCAGTTGTTGTACGTGGCCGTAGACAACACTGTTTTCACTTCTTCAAACGCTTTTTGGCACTCTCACGACCAGGATTACATCTTTCTTGAGCTATTCATTCGTCGGATGACGAAGGTGGTGCATTTCCGGAACAAGCGAGCTGTACTGACTCCTGAGACTCAAGGAAGCGCGCAAGGAATTTAGTCATTTTCTGGCGACGTCTCTTTGATCTCACCATAAATGCAATTTAGTCCCATAACTTGCATCTTCTCCTTCCTCTTCCAGGGATGCTGAACGCGACGTGCTATCTGGACCCCGAATCTTTGTACCTATTAGTTTATTCTATGGGCACGCCGCCCTCCAATCAGCACACTATGGGCACTCGTATTTATCTTGAAGAAGACTTTCAATCCTGTCCATAGCCAGACCAGGTAGAATAGAGATGCACAACTAGATCACGTCAAACGATACCATCACTTCGTTTGCCTCCAAGTTCAGGTGTTGGATGGGGGTCAAAAACGCACTAGCAGACTACACTGTCCACTCTGAGCCCTTTGTATGGAAATACAATCGCTGGTACAACCATTTTGACAATCCAAAATTTAGAAGACGAAGATGCGATCACTGGAACAAGAGTTTTATTTGCCTGACG